ATCCGCCGCAGCTTGTAAGAGCTGCGCTCAAATGTTTGAAAAGAGAATTGGAAGAGAGAGGCGAATTGAATGCCGCCGATGCATACAGTGCAGGACCAGTTCCAGAAGTGCCAACCGTAGACCCAGAGTGGGAAGAGCGGTATGTAGATAATGTTAATGGGGGAGTGCTTCCAAAAGAGGAAGTTGAAAAGGCCAGATCGGTAGAGATGCAGTACCTTCACAAACAGGAAGTATACTTGCTAGTACCGATTGAGCAGTGTTTTGAAGAAACAGGGAAACCCCCGATCAAGACCAGACGGCTTGATACAAACAAGGGTGACCCAAGTCATCCGAACTACAGGAGCAGACTGGTTGTCAAGGATATAAAGGCCGCAAAACGGCCTGAAGACCAGCTACCTGCAAATCTTTTGTTTTCAAGCACACCGCCTCTTGAAGCAATGAGGCTGCTGTGCTCATTGTGGGCGACCAAGCAGAGGTCGATCCACGGTGAAAAGCTGAAACTTGGTTTGTGGGACATATCCCGCGCACACTTTTATGGAACACCAAAGCGCAGGATATTCATAGAGCTTCCCAGCGAAGAGTCAAGAGCTGAAGGAGGCAAGATGTGTGGACTCCTTCAGAAGTCGATGTATGGAACACAAGACGCACCGAACATATGGCAGTCCCATTATTCAGGGATTTTTGATAGAAGGTGGGTACAAGCGTGGAAAATCCAACGCTTCGGTATTTTACCACCCACAGCACGATGTCCGTGTGATGGTACATGGAGATGATTTCCTAGCACTAGGTGATCAGAAACACCTCAGTGAGCTGGAAGACTTGCTGCGCGAGTCATATGAGCTGAAATGTCTCGGAATCATCGGAGACCAACCTCAGGACAAGAAAGAGATCCATTTCCTGAACAGGTTGATTCGGTGTGGCGAAATTGAAGGAAGGCCAGCAGCATGGATTGAACCTGATCGCAGGCATGTGGACCTGCTGATTCAGAGCTTTGGCATGACAAATGCCAAAGGCGTAGAAAGTCCAGATGTAAAGAAATCTGCAGACCAGCAGGCTCTTGAAACCAGGAGCCCCTTGCTTCCAAAGGAAGCCGCATCAGAGTTTAGATCCGCAGTAATGCGGGCAGCATATCTGTCGCAAGACAGGCCAGACATTGGCCATGCAGTCAAGAACCTCGCGAGACGGCTGGTTCAGCCGACCGAGGCTAGCTTGACAGATTTGAAGAGGCTGATCGGCTGATCAGATACTTGATCAGGTACCCAGACTTCGCTCAGGTTTTCAAAGCTCAAAGGACACCTGAGAGACTTGTCATACAGGTCGATAGCGATCATGCAGGAGACACAGTGACAAGAAAATCGACCACAGGAATGATTGCCTTCTATGGGCAACATGTTCTGAAACACAGCTCGAATGTGCAGTCAACCATTGCACTTTCGACAGGTGAATCAGAGTACTATGCTCTGGTTAAAGGTGGAAGTACCGGGCTGGGAATTCAGTCCCTATTGGCTGACTATGGTATCAATGCAGCGGTCACCATCGAGTCAGACTCGAATGCTGCAAAAGGTACAGTCAACCGTGTTGGACTTGGCAAAGCACGCCATATCTAAACCCGTTACTTATGGCTGCAAGAACGCGTAGCCGAAAACCACCTTAAGGTTGTGCATGTTCCAGGTAAACAGAATCGATCAGATGTTCTGACGAAACCTGTGCCTGGTACACAGATGCATCAGACTATGACAAAGTCAGGGTATGTGTATCTGACAGATCGGAGCAAAGGCCAGCTGAATCTACTTAAGTGACGACCCTGGCCAGACTCCACTACCTTTTAGCTCGTGGTAGCGCTCGAGCTGAAGGAGAACTGAGAGCCGGAGTTTAGCTCTTTGCGAGTGTACACAAAATCACTCTTCAAGAGAGGAGGAGTGAAGACATGTACATACCATATATAACCTCTCATGTGCAGTGTAAAGATCCAGGGGTTTAGCATGAACCCGACCTTTATTTTGGCTCAAGAAAATAGAGCTCCGCAGCTCGATATTGTGTTTTCAATGGTCATTACAGCAGCTGGCTTAGAATCACCAAGTCTTACTGCAATATATTTGGTTCAAAGCAATTATATATATATATATATATATATGTATACACATATATGTATGTGTCTTTGACACTTACTAGCAGCTTAGCATGGCCGTTTTTTATCACTCACAATGGAAGGGAATGAACTTAAGGTAGGAACCAACTCTATGTCACTTGGGCCTACTGCCACCAGTAAACCTCGTCAAACCTGACAAAACTCAGCGAACACCGGCAAACCCAGCTAACCTCGGCAAACCCCGGAAAACCCGGCAAACCCGGCAAACCCTGGCAAGCCCGGCAAACCCGGCAAACCATGCGGAAAATGCTAAGCTGATGACACGGAAAACTTTGCCAAAAACATGAAGTAGATTGAACTATGTAAAAAGATATCCTTAAGCAACTTTAGGAGTGATATTGTTGTGTGCCTCGAAAATTCGGATGTGTGAATGCTTGCACATGTGAAAAGCTGTAAAGGGAAATCAATCATTGCGATCTCAAATTGAAGTAAAAAATTGAAATCAGCAACATGCACTGCAGTATAATATAAATATGGCGTGTGCCGTGTCCAAAATCTTGGATAAAGATTTCGAAACACATACACGGCAACACATTCACAATTTTCTATCTGTGATTTTTGTGGTCTTTTTGAAATGGAGAGCCATCAGAATCAAAATGTTCGGGGATATTTTTTTCCTTGTGGAATTTGTATCCGGAATGTATTCGAGTCTTATATCTTTCTCTCTATGTCATTCAGCAACATTCTTAAATTAGGTAAAAATAATGCATAATACACACATTGCAATAGGACGGCACCATGATGAAATCCACGGATAAAAGGAAGAAATGGAGAACACCAATGAAATCCAGTGATTAAATGAGCCAGGAGGTGGGGAAAACTGATGAAACCGAGTGAAAAATGAACAAATAGATGGGGAAAACTGATTGAAATCTCAGGATAAAATCAAGGAATGGATGGATAAAAATGATGAATGCCAATGATAAGATGAACAAGTAGTTGGGGAAAACGGATAAAATCTAGTGACGAGTGATAAAAAACACAAGTAGGTGGGAGAAAACTGATGAAAATGAACGGTACAATGAAGACTTTGGTGAGGAAAACTGATGAAATCTAATGATACAATGAAGGAACGGACAACTAAAACCGATGAAACATCATGATGATCTCAACAAATCGGTGGGAAAACTGATGAAACCCAATGATAACATGCCCGAATAGGTTGGGAAAATTTTGGAGAACTGAAGAAAAACTGTAATGATCAACTGGAGAAATAGATTGGGAAAACGTGGGACAGCTGATGAAACCAAATGATAACATGAACAAATAGGTGGGAAACATGTTTTTTTTTGAGAAACTGATCAAATAGGTTTGGGAAACTCATCAAATCCTTCTATAAAATGATCAAATAGGTGAGGCAAACTGATGAAATCTCCTGGTGAACTAATGGAAAAACGGAGGAATATTGATCAACATGTACTACAGCATTGAGAAATAAGGTGTGAACATATAATATAGTTATATATAAATAAATATAAATATGTATATATATATATTTCCATGTGTTTTGTATTGTTTTGTTCTTATGTTGACTCAATGTTGGTTGTTCCCATGTGTTTTATCATTTTGCGTTCAGAAACGTTTCTTGTCTTGCTCTTAGCTAATTCACATTCCACAAGATTTAAACCAATTGCAAATTGCGTCCAAAGTATGTTGAAATTGAATCGAGATTACTCTAGATTTGATTTTATGAGGATTGAAATTTAATCAAAATAGATTTCAATTTAAGTCGACATCCTTTTTTGGAATCAACTTATTTCTCAATATTGGATTTCAAATCTATATATAATACACACACCAAAAAAAACAAGCAAACGGTATATATATAGGTGTCCGAAAATACTTTACGTAATACTTGTATATATTTATATACTTTGTACCTGTATATAATTTTCTATCTGTCATTTTGTAAAATTTAGCTAAAATAATCAAAAAATAGTCTTATTTCTATCTGTGAAGAAAATTACCCTAAATCGACGTTTCGCGTATATATATATATACATACGAAAAAAAAACCCGGCAAATGAATTGCAACTTTGTCTTTACAAAAAGTCAAAATTATATATATATATATGGTTTTGTGATGTTTTAACCAATTTTGTTTTTTTTTAATTTTCTATCTCATGTTGCTTAGGAGTAGAATCGCTCAAAAACCCGAAATTGATTTTTTTCATTAAAATTTCTATCTGCGAAATTACGAAAGACTGTTCTATGTGTTGATTTTGTCACTCGTGCTGCATGGGGATTTTCTATGTGCAAGATGTTGACTATAAATTTTTAAAACAACACCAACACATGATCCAAAACACAACAAATGGCAGCAAACACCGCTGGATGCAGAGATGAAAAACTAAACGCGTTTTGAAAACAAATTACAACGAAAAACACCAGATGCAGGTTTTTTCAGAGACATTTCGAAAACACAAAATCCTTGGTTCCAGTTCCAAAACAGCACATGAAATATACAAAATGTGGCAAACACCAGAGAAAAACTCGCGATGCAAGGGCCAGGGCACCCTTTAGAAACGTTACAAAAACATGCAAAATGCAGGGTCACAAAGCAAGGACAATGCAAGACTTAGCAAATAACATTGAAATCCAGTAGAGCAAGGGATTCCAAAAAAATACTAAATGCACAGAAAAAAACCTCGAATTGATTCTGCATTTTTGAAAAAAAACATGTCCTTGCTGCATGTGGTTTTCATCATTAAGACTTAGTGCTTTGAATTTTTCCGGGGCTGCCGAAAGAGATGTGGTGGCATTCGGTTTTCACCAAAATCGTCAGTGAGTCACTGCAGCACTGACGGTATCCAAGCCATTTGAGCTATCAAGAGACGACAAGAGCCAGGAGAAAATCATCGCGTTTCCATGCGAAGCATTGTGACGAGAGCCTTGGCATCTGCGAATTGCTTATGAATGTCTTCGGAGTCCGTGAAATACTGTCCTTCTCCAAGACAAGTTTGGAGCACTCAGGTCTGTTGGTGCCCTTGGTGGCTGGATCGTGTTTGCCCGATGCCATCTCACCTGAAAACCGAAAGAACTTGGCGGGAATCTCAGCAACTTCAAGTCCTACATCTATGTTCACACTGGTGCATACATTTCACATATGGATATATAGATATATATCATATATCCTGTATGTAGCCATTGTATACATGATGAATAAACACACACATATTTTTTCTAGTGCAAAAATACACATATTGCATATATACGCATAGTTTACACAGATGATAGGCCCTTGTGTACTTCAGAGAAAATACTGTAATGGTGAACAAATGTTTTTCACCGTTAATCATTAGCCATTGTAGAGTCATTGATAGCCATTCCGAACTATTGTTAACATGTTTATGCAAATGTTTCACATTTGCATTTTCTGATCCGTCCATGCCTTGGTCGCCATTTAGATACAATGGCTAATGTTGGACCGGAGATCAAAAAAACAACCCAAATATTCCATAAACAGGTGGTATCAACATGTATCAACCATCCAAAAATGGTGGGCCTATTGTGGATTTGTCCTTATTGTTGCACAAGTTCATCCGTTGTGGCTTGCACACATTGTGCGGCTTGTGAATGATCCGGGATTGTGGCTCGCAAAGGTCAACCCCAATGGCGAAACCTATCCCGTTGGCCTCTTCGTCTCCTCGTATGCAGCTTCATATGCGGCTCAATACTTGGGATCCATTCTCATTCAGGCTCTGAAGCGACATGCTTGGATTTTGGGCTGTTAAACATATCCAGATTATCGGGGATAGCTGCTGCTGATGATTGTAACAATGATGAGATGTTGATGATGGTAATGATGATGGTAATGATGATGGTAATGATGATGGTAATGATGATGGTAATGATGATGGTAATGATGATGGTAATGATGATGGTAATGATGATGGTAATGATGACAAAATGATGCTGTGGCTGTGGCTGTGGCTGTGGCTGTGGCCGTCGCCGTCACCGTCGCCGTCGCCGTCGCCATCGCCGTCGCCGTCGCCGCCGCCGCCGCGGCTGCTGCTGCTGCTGCTGCTGCTCTTGTGGTGGTGGTGGTGGTCGTCGTCCTTCTTTTGCTGCTTCTTCTTCTTCCAACTGTCTTTGTCATTCCATGTCATTCCTGAAGGGCTACCACTACAAAAAACGTATCAGTCTTCATATTTGCATTTATAAGTTCTCCCCTGGCCAGCATCATGTATATAGAGGTTAATTGTTTTTCATGCGCAGGCAAGGCGAATGCTATTGAACGGATAGCTGCGAAAACCACGGGTGACCTGTACTTGAACGGTGTAGAGTCTCACTCTGTGGAATTCATACATGTTTGGAAACACATGGTCTTGAGGGAACCAGTGAAGGACTTGAGCACTTGAGTTAACTTGGAAACTAAGCAGCTCCACTGCAACCAGCGTTTCATGATTTTCCAAAAGTTTTGTTTCCTTAACATTTTGAGAAGCCGGAGTGAAACTTCAGCGACAGCCGATGCAGTGGGAATTAGGTTTTGGAGCACTTGTTGCTTGCCGGGGCAGGAAGTGCTCGGATACAACACTACGCTTAACCTTGATGATTTGGGAAGCGGTGCATTGTCGGGATATTACGGGTTAACGGGATGCAGCACTTTCACCAACACTGACGACCGTGGGTGCAAGGAAGGCGTCCCTTGGCAGAAACGAGAAGTTTTTGTCCTTGCTGTCTATGTCAATTGTTCCCTCTTGGCACGCTACGCGGTAAGCTTTGTAGTGCTGTGGATAACCATACATGGAGCGAATCCAAGCCCCCATTCGTCGGTTTTTGTCGTGCTGTCAGAAGTCAATGCAGTTTTGCAGGCGCATACCTTGCTTGTAGCACCTTTGACTGCGAGAATATCTATTTATGATTGCAGGGGCGGCTGCTGCTGCTGCTACTGCTACTACTACTGCTACTTCTACTACTACTATATACTACTACTGCTACTGCTACTGCTACTACTGCTGCTGCTACTGCTGCTACTGCTGCTACTGCTGCTACTGCTGCCACTGCTGCCACTGCTGCCACTGCTGCCACTGCTGCCACTGCTGCCACTGCTGCCACTGCTGCCACTGCTGCCACTGCTGCTACTGCTGCTACTGCTGCTACTGCTGCTACTGCTGCTACTGCTGCTACTGCTGCTACTGCTGCTACTGCTGCTACTGCTGCTACTCCTACTACTACTACTACTACTACTCCTACTACTACTACTACTACTCCTACTACTCCTACTACTCCTACTACTCCTACTACTCCTACTCCTACTCCTGCTGGTGGTGCTGCTAATCATCCCTGCCTTTGCTTTCTTCATTGTTTGTTCTCGCCCCGTTGTGTTTGTACTTTGTGCGGTGGCCTCAGTTTGATGACAAGTGCCTGGTCAGAAGGCAACACAGGGTTCTGCAAGGTTCTTCAAAATTTCCAGGGCCAGTGTGACTGTGAGCCGGGTTTTGCGAACAACAGAAACGTTGGCAACGGGAAGATTCTGTGTAACGCAAGCTTTGAAGGGTCTGTGAGTTTGGCGCAGCCACAAGAAATGCTGGCCTGGGCCGTCTCGCTCAAAGAAGTGTAAAGCGTGGTGGTTTATCCAAGACAAGAAGTGTTCCAGAGTTCCTCAAGGATTGTTGAAGGGTTAGGGGCTTCTTGGTTTCCGGATCAAACGCTCTTCACGCTGCCCGCCAATCTTTTGAAGAACTGGCGGCTGTGAACATGGACCGGACGAGGCGCTAGTTCACCTTTGCAAAGCATGTCGGGTTTGGTTGTAGTCCTTGTTTCTGACGTAGAAGCGACGATGTTTTCTTCTCGACATTGTTAGTCCCAAATTCCAGCAGAATGAAATTAGAGTGAAATTTTATGTTTTTTTCTTCAAGCTTTGTCAGGTTTACCCATGTGGCCGCTCGTTTTTCTTTTATTGCACACCCTACCAGTTTGTTGATTTGCAAAAACCGTAAAACTGGGGGGATTTTCTGGCGAAGTTTGCCGGCGAAAGTTTGCCCGCGGAGTTGGTCTCAAAGTTTTTTTCCGTGAGGGACCTTTTTTGTCCATGCGGCGAAGTTTGCGGCGAAAGGTCGGCAAAATTTCGTTTCCTTTTGTTTCCCTCTTTCAGAAAAATCATCGAAATTTCACCACAAATTTCACCACGTGCCACGGCCACAAACCGAGAAAATTCCACTCTGGGGGAAGATTTCCCCACCCAGTACCTTCATTCCAAGCGTCAAGACACAATTTGGGCTGCCAAATTTCGGAATCAGCATTTTGAATCATTTTAATGCAATGCATTTCAGAAGGGTCTTCTTTGCTTGGTCACACTTTCCTGTGGCTGCAGGGATTGTGATTTTTTTGAAAACGAATTTGTGGTTCTACAATATAGCGCAAACCACGTAATTCATGCTCCCTTGGCACGACAAATAGAAGTGGAGCCACACTCCACAAACAATTGTGGCCTATGGCTTGCCGAACCAAATCTCAATGGCTGATCCTTCGGATTACACTTTTTCTTGAGTCGGTATTCGCATTCTAGACTTCACCTCAGAATATTTTCTGGTTTCTTCAGTATTAAGGGTGCTGTAAGTGCTTTTGCTCCCATGGTGATGGCCAAAATGGTACCTATTGACCGAGACATGGGTTTTTCAACCTCAGCTGCCCATGCGGCACAAAAAACTCTTCGGTTGATTTTTTGAGCGACCTTGGAAACATATAAATTATAAAATTTCAGGAGTTTGCGTGTGCACACTGCACCATGTTTTGGGTATAGTTTAGTGATTTGTCTTGAAACGGAAAAAACTTTCCGAAATTGCCCGTGTGGACAAGTAGTAAAATGCCAGACGTGCATCCTGTTTTGCATTTTTCTTTGTCCGCACTTACCACATGGCTCATCTGAGGTCACTACCTACTTTCACATTACATTTGAGAGTTGGTCCGGATATCATCATGATTGGAAGTTCATTCAAGACACCTACTCATCCATGGCGCCCATCAACAGAGGCAACATGGGATACATGGGCTTTATTACCGCCTTCATTCCCAAACTTGTTCAAGAGCAAGCGTACTCTACACAGGGCGTAGCGCTTGAGTTCTACCGAAATTGGAACGTGTCTTGGAACCAGCCTTGGAACTTCTTCAGCGGCATATCATCAGTTGAGAAGCGAAATTTGATGCCTTGCAACGCTTCCATGATGCAGGATGACCCTGCCATGAGGCGTCACGTACAGTTCACTGGGGACACAGATGGGGTTGTCATCGCCAATGATGCTTGGCCAAAATTGAGATCCGCAGAAAAACAACAAAACACAATTTTGTGTCAGTTTATATATATATATAATATAATATATATAATATATAATATATATATATAATATATATAATATAATATATATATAATATATAATATAGTATAATATGTATATAATATAATATAATATAATATAATATATATATAATAATATATATATATAATATAATATATATATATAATATAATATATATATATAATATAATATAATTCAACATAATATATAATATAATATAATATAATACAATATAATATAATACAATATAATATAATACAATATAGTATAATATAATACAATATAATATAATATAATATAATATTGTTTGGGTGTGAACTTTGGAAAGGACATCACCGTGCTTCCATCCCTTCAGCTCCATTTGTTTTTTTGGCATGAAGCTCCTTACAGGAGAAGTATTCGGGACGATGTGATGACGGTTATTGGTGGTTGCCGCCAGCTTGCAGGTCGAATCCATCCACTTGTGTTCCGTGGATTACAGGAGGCACCGGTTGGTCAGTTGAAGAGTTCATGCAGAAGTTCACCACCTGGAACATGCCTGTTGCAGTTGGCGTTGCCGCAACCTGGGGCGACTACACGACCTTGCCACTTGCAGGCACCATGGCCTTCTATTGGTGGTCCCCAGACCCCACTTTCCTGGAACTTTCACCATTGCGTGTGGAATTTCCGGAATTCAACAAACGCGAGCATGACCAGGGCATCCAAACATCACAGCTCAACGCAATTAGCATCGACACCCTTGTCAGCCGTGATCTTCCTGTGTTGGCTCCAATGGTGGATAGGTTTGCAGATAATTTGGAGATCAGCCAGGCCCAAATGGACGCACTTCTGTTGGAGCAGAAGAACACCGGAGATTCCTGGGAGAATGTGACCTGCAGATGGGTCCTGGCGAATCGTGCCACATGGGAGAAGTGGATCCCTGACCAATCTGCGTGCTTTCCCGGCTTTGGTCTCTACGACACTGTGGTGAAAGACTTTGTGGAGATGCGGGAGAACGCCACGAACCAGATCACGTGCCAGGCCTTCGAAGCAGACCGGGATACAGTGTCAAAACGAAAACCGTAAGCCAACTACTGGGTACTTAGTGAATACATGAGTTTTTGATATTTTAGACACTATCTACATGGGGCGCCATTTTGTCAAAAAGCAGAAAAAGATCCTAACTTCAAATATACACATGTACACATACTGTATGGATTACCAGTGTATATGTTACATATGTATTAGGATTTCCTATGTACACATTTGCCTAGTGTATCAGTTATGTGTACATTAGATATGCACTATGTATGCGCCCGAAAAGCATACATGTGAAGATGGGCTATATCTTCGTGCAGGTAATGGTAGGGCTTTCTGTTCGTTGACCCTGGAAACCATCAGGCTTGTCCACCTGGAACCTTCTCGCAGAAACTCGAAGACAGCATTGGCACGGGCGAGACCTACATCTGCGTACCCTGTGGCCTTGGAACTTCGCAGCCCTCAGGAGCTGCACTGAGCTGCACACCCTGCAAAGTAGGCAGGGGCTGAGGGGCCAGGAGTTGTTGTGCGGTTTTGGCATTGACCTCGACTCGTGACCTTCAAGACCAAGTGGCCGGTATCATTCTGAGTTCCAATGCTATAACACATTTACCCTATGCTGGTTGAAGCCAGGCGGATATCAGGATGAAAATCGCAGCACGGAGTGCAAGCGTTGCCCCTTCCGCACCTATCAGGACCGTTCCCACTTTTCTGGGTGCAATAAGGCTGAAACAACTTACTCTGAAGGATAACACTCCACAAAGTGACAGAATTTCTCGTCCTTGATAATGTCGCCGTTTGGAGTTATGACATCAACCTATTCATTTGCTGTATTTGCTGTTTTGTGCCCTATGTCCTATCTTGTTCATCTTGTTCAGTTGCCATCTCAACACTGGTCGATAAATGCAAAGCAGCTGCCACTGTTCCTTTGTTTCAGCTTGCTGCTTTGTGCAATCGGTTTGCTACCCCAGCTCGGCTAGTGGGCATCGTCTTGGTGTGACCCAATCGAGGTTCTGCGTGTAAATCAAACATACCGTTTAGTCACATTGGTTTAGGCCGCCTGATATGGTTTGCATCCATCTTCCCACTCCAGAAAATGTATACCTTACGTTGTATCAGAGCACAATCCATTGTGTTTTGCGATGATCCGCATAACTCACTGAGAACACTCGATCACAAACTGACCAGATTTAGATCGTCTATGTAAGCATTTCCAATATCATTGAACATGGTTAGTCCTGTAGCTCGTATCACTCCGCTCCTGATCAGGATGAGGAAGGTCAAGTGGCGTGCAAAAGTTGCCCCGCCTCCACCAACACTTTGGGGTTGGGCACTTGGCAGCAAGGTGCACAAAGGCCAGTGGTGAAACAGAGGTCTTGCTGAGAACATCTGTGAACCACAAATGAGCGCTGCAGGGTTAGGTTAGGATAGTGGATGATTGTGGCATTTTTTATTGGTCCCTTGTTTTCGCTTGCTCTCAGCCATTGCAAGGATCCATCGCACCAAGCGATTGCGGCTGTTTGGAGGACCAAATTGACATGGACCGTTCAGGCAGGTTTGCTTCAGCTGTCAATCAGCTGTCAAGCCTTTGAGTTGACCACTGTTCCAAGATCATACAACCTGTTCATGAGTCATAGTTAATCTTGTACAGGTTGTATGATCGTTAACCATAATTAACCATAATTAACCATAATTAACCATAATTAACCTGTCCTCAAAATGGTTTTGTTTCAATCGGAAGATGACCGGCTATACGTGGGCTAAATCAGGTACCATAATGTTGACCCAGGCTATTTGTGGGCATGGATTCAATTGGAAGGGCTTCTTGGCACTTGCAACTGACGCCTATAAATAAATGAATAAATCAATCAATAAATAAATCATAGATACGTTGATATACTTGTATGCACATCCTCATGCATGTAGTATGTATGCGTATATTCACCCATACGTGTAATTATATATATTATATGTATATTATACATGTATAAAGGTGAATGTCTATTTGCCCCAGCCCCTGCAACCCCCCCTCCCTCCCACGTACTGTCATACCCCCTCCCGCCTCCCCCTAGCATGATCGTGATGGTTGGGTTATTTTCCCTTTGCCCGTGGTGTGTCTATAGGTGGGTCATGAAATAAGTCATACAAACAAAGCATCTTAGCAATACAAAGATGGTAATCGGGTAGCATGGTGGGAGTATCTTAGCAACAAAAAAATGCCAACGGATAGTGTACAGATGCAATATTGGTATTACAGAAGCAGCATATCGGGAGTGTCTAGCTAATAAGCACTTGTGATACCCGTAACTTTCCATTATCGAATGAGTTGTATGCGGGTAGTTTGTATGCAGTACAAAATCAACACATATATGGATAGTGTGGAGGCCGTATGTAACTTTTATATACTTTATATTTAGAGTGCTGAACACACACATGAATAATATATGTATATACACATGTACATATACGTCACACATACATGAAGATACATATGTACATGTATATATGAAAAGCACATAGACAGCACAAAATACGGTGCCAAATTAGTTTACTCAGTAGGAGTAGCAGTAGGAGTAGCAGTACCAGCAGTACTAGTAGCAGTGCTACCAGCAGTACTAGCAGCAGTACTAGTGGCAGTACTAGTAGCAGTACTAGTAGCACTAGCAGTTGCACTAGTACTAGCACTAGCAGTAGCAGTAGGAGGAGTAGTAGTAGTGGTAGTGGTAGTGGTACTGGTAGTCGTAGTCGTCGTAGTATAGTTGTAGTAGTTGTCGTTGTCGTCGTCGTACTCGTAGTTGTAGTCACACTCGTAGTCGTAGTTGTAGTAGTCGTGGTGGGAGTAGATATATAGGTACGAACTAGAGCTTAGAAATGCTGCAAATGGCATGCAAATAAAGCTTCAGCGCAGAAATGCCGAAAATGCTGCAAAATGCAGATAAACATCACGTTTTCGGGAGCTGTGGATAAAAACCTGCTGCTTTGCAGAAGGCCTGGTAAGGTCAAATTTCCAGGTGAAGAGTTGGTGTTCTGAAGTTTGGTGAGTGGTTGATGTACGTTTTATATGCCACATTCTGAAGAAGTCCAATGGCTCATTACATCCCACGATATGGCCTGACAAGGCCAAGTTGGCCATGCCAGTTGATATGGCCGCTGTCAAACAGCAGTGTTCAACAGGGGCTTTTGATGCCCAACAGCTCGATTCTGCAGCTTCATGAAAGGATAATACAGGTACATGAGGGCGATTAAACTTTTGAAAAAGTATTCATATCAGGGTGTTTCACGATTGAGAGTATCATCGTTGTGGAAAACCCGGACCGTCCACATTGGATAGAATGTGGGTATTTGGCCTTGGGATGTGAACCACTGTCCACTTCGGGTGATACGTGTTATTGCCCCATAGACATTTTTCACTGCTCATCTTGCCAGTAATAATATTTCCAAACAACGAAATCATCTTGTCGGGCTTTGCCAGACAACTTCGAGTGCGTCGCCTGCATGGAGGGAATGAAATGCCCAGCTCTATCCCAGTTGGCTGCATGGCTGAATTTTGAAAACTCATGATTTACATGAAAAACTGATGCTTGATTTCAAGCCAACCCGCGCAATCACTTTAAAAAGCAACATTTTTTTTTTAAAGGAACTTGATAAGGTAGCGTTAATGCTTGAAAGTTGCTGATTGATGTGTGGATAAGCATCTGAAGGTAAAGTGGCGGCTGGTGTTTTTTACTTACGCTTTTGGATGTTCTTGTCCTGGGGGATGAGGCCTTTGCTAAAAGCAACATTTTTTGCAAGGGGTTGAAGCCAAAGACCGGATGAAGCGCAGGTGCATTTCGCTCAAGAAATGCATCGTTGGCCAAAGCATGGCAAAGGTGTTGCCGCATAGTTGTCGAGTAAAACCTTTGGATATTGAGCGTTCCTGGCTGGCAATCGTCTTTTGAACAATGCAGCTACTCACGCCAAGGGACCTAGGTACCCAGGAGCGGTCTGGGGTCATAACATAGCCCTTCTTCTGGGTACCGATCTCTCGTTTGTTGGCTAAGGTCGATTTGGAGAACGGAACCAGCGCCAACGGAGAGTTATTCACTCCGATGATCATGGAGGGCTTCTACACCACGAAGGACTCTCCCACAGAGGCGTTAACCCTGGCAGAACAACCTTAGAGCTTTACCATTCGGTATGGGTATTTCCTAGAATAGTGGTACCCAAAAATCATCAAAAATGGTTTATTTTAGTAGATAAAATCTTTTTTGGGGGTACCACGATTTTAGGAGACATCCAGTATTAACCCAGTATAGTTTCTTGCTGTCACTATGATTGGATGGATGCAAGGCCATACTTAGGGGGTAAAAAAAGCAGCAAAGCGGTCAGCAGCGGGTTCTGCGTTGATGAAACTCGCACCACACGTTCTGGATTGATGAGTTTTTAGAGGAGTAGCTGGGAAACAATTTTAAAAAGGGGTGGCATTGATTGAGCGATCGACCGGGAGGGCCTTCCACAGCTCTTGAATGCCAAGGGTTTTTTTATAATATCTGAAATGGGTGTATCATTACTCATTACTCATTTGGTCAATCTGTAACGGGTGTATCAACCCCTAGTGATGGCTTTGTGACCTTGATGTAAGACATGTAATTCATCTTCATGATGAGCAGGATTTACGCAAGCTGAACGGTACGTTGAGATGTGCTGACCCAACACGGATGTTGCGCTTCTGCAGTTCCACCAAATGGGCGAAGATCCAAACGATCATCAAGTAGTGTTTCTTTGGATATTCCCCCCAGCTTGGGTCTTCCCGACATCGAATTTGGAACTTTGGTAGGTCTTCCGGTGCCGCAGCACGCGAACTTGCCCTGGTGGAACCCCTGGTACCTGTGGCGGTGGGCTGATTGGTACTCCGTGCTCGCAATGCCCAGCAGGTGCGACCTTGGTTGATCCTTAGAACAGATCTATTTGCTCCTGAGATCATTGCAATTTGCTGTGGAAATCAGTGGAAATCACTACTGAAGAATAGTCCTGGAAAACGCTATGACAAAATGGAACTAACTTGTTGCCATGGGCCGCATCGGTCTGTCATGCCAGGAATCCTGTTTGTCCTTTGACATGAGGACCTGGCATCATCCCGATCTATCTCAAAGGAAAACTTAAAATCAAATCACAATTTCTGTGTGCAGTGTGCACTCTGCCAAGCTACCAGTAGTACCGCACAAGGCGGTGGCGGAAGTTTCAAGAGATAGGAAGCTACAGGAAAGTTTGTGCTTGTGATTCCTGATTGCCAGAGCGACCCAGTGGCAGAATGAAGCATGGTTGGAACTTCTTGGTCTGTCAGTCTGTTTGTCTGCCTGACAATCTATCTATTTATCTGTTTGTCTCTCTGTCTGTCTATCTGACTGACAGTCTCTCTATCTGACTGACTGTCTGACAATCTATCTATCTATTTGTCTGTCTGTCTGTCTGTCTGCCAGTCTGTCTCTTTGTTTGTCTGTCTATCTGACTGACTGTCTTTCTCTATCTGACTGACTGTCTGGCAGACTGACTGTCTGACAATCGATCTATCTATCTTTCTATCTGTCTGTCAGTCAGTCAGTCCGTCAGTCCGTCTGGCAACCTATCTATCTATCTGTCTGTCAGTCAATCTGTCTGCCAACCTATCTATCTATCTGTCTGTCTGACTGACTGTCTGACAATCTATCTATCTATCTGTCTGTCTGTCTGTCCGTCTGTCTATCTGATTGTCTGATTGTCTAACAATCTTTCTGTCTGTCTGGCAGTATCTATCTTTGTATCTATCTATTTACCTGCCTGTCTGATTGTCTGACAATCTATCTGTCTGACCAGTCTGTCTATCTGACTGACTGTCTATCTATCTATCTATCTGTTTGTCTGACAATCTGTTTATCTATCTATCTGTCTGTCAATGTGTCTATCAATGTGTCTGTCCGTCTGACTGTCTGACTGTCTAAGTGTCTGACAATCTATCTGCCTGTCTGTCTGTCTGTCTATCTGTCTATCTATCCATCCATCCATCTATCTATCTATCTATCTATCTCTCTCTCTCTCTATCTATCTATCTCTCTATCTATCTCTCTATCTATCTCTCTATCTATCTCTCTATCTATCTATCTATCTATCTATCCATCTATCTATCTATCTATCTCTCTCTCTCTCTTTCATCTGTCTATCTGTCTAGCTGTCTACCTGTCTGACTATCTATCTATCTATCTATCTCTCTCTCTCTCTATCTCTCCGTCTATCTATCTATCTCTCTATGTATCTATCTATCTCTCCATGTATCGATCTATGCATCTATCGATGTATCTATCTATCTATCTATCTATCTATCCATCCATCCATCTATCTATCTCTCTATCTATCTCTCTATCTATCTCTCTATCTATCTCTCTATCTATCTCTCTATCTATCTCTCTATCTATCTCTATCTATCTCTCTATCTATCTCTATCTATCTTGTCTATCCTTTCTATCCTTTGTATCCTTTCTATCCTTTCCATCCTTTCCATCCTTTCCATCCTTTCCATCCTTTCCATCCTTTCCATCCTTTCCATCCTTTCCATCCCTTCCATCCTTTCCATCCTTTCCATCCTTTCCATCCTTTCCATCCTTTCCATCCTTTCCATCCTTTCCATCCTTTCCATCCTTTCCATCCCTTCCATCCTTTCCATCCTTTCCATCCTTTCCATCCTTTCCATCCTTTCCATCCTTTCCATCCTTTCCATCCTTTCCATCCTTTCCATCCTTTCCATCCTTTCCATCCTTTCCATCCTTTCGATCCTTTCGATCCTTTCGATCCTTTCGATCCTTTCGATCCTGTCTATCCTGTCTATCCTGTCTATCCTGTCTATCCTGTCTATCCTGTCTATCCTATTTATCCTGTCTATCCTGTCTATCCTGTCTATCCTATTTATCCTGTCTATCCTGTCTATCCTGTCTATCCTATTTATCCTGTCTATCCTGTCTATCCTATTTATCCTATTTATCCTGTCTATCCTGTCTATCCTATTTATCCTGTCTATCCTGTCTATCCTGTCTATCCTATTTATACTGTCTATCCTGTCTATCCTAGAGTCTATCCTGTCTATCCTGTCTATCCTATCTATCTGTCGGTCTGGCAATCTATCGATCTGTCTTTCTGTCTGTCCATGTATCTGTCAGATCGTCCAAAAGTAGTCCGAATGTGGTGTGCTTTGACGCTTTTGACTTCCAAATGTGCTTCGGGCCTAGGTGGCGTGCCTATTTTCGAAGTTGCATCTTCCAAAACTGCTCAGGGCATGAGGTGTTTTGCCACTTTTGACTTCCAAACGTCTAGGCGGCGTGCAAATTTTCCAAGTTGCATCTCCAAAACTGCTCCGAGCATGAGGTGTTTTGCCACTTTTGACTTCCATGTGCTTCGCACCTAGGCGGCGTGCCAATTTTTGTCAGTCCTTCCGTCAGAGGGCTCCGCGCACGCCGCTTTAGTGAGCCTACCTTTCGAGCCATCCGGACGCACCATCCATTGAAAAACACATCATTTCGCGACTTTCCTAGCATTTCGCGCGCTCAGATCTTCTTTCTTCTGACTGCTGTGATCTTCTGTCATCTGACTCTCTGTTCTCTCGCATTGGGCTGGTTGCATCTTTCCATAAGTCGGAAGCTAGACTTCTAAACTTCCTTCGATAAGGGGTTCTTACTTCTCAATCCATGGATCAGCAATTTTTCTGCCGCTGCGCTGCCGCTGCGCTGCCGCTGCTCATGCTTGTCTCCCATGTTTGTCTCCCGTCATACTTGCTTCCCTTCATTCATGCTTGTGCTTGTCTCCCTTGTGGCTCTGGATCCCGCTGCCGCTGCTGGGACTGGTCTGAAACCCTTTAGACGCCCCATCTGAGCCTCCGATTGCCACTTGCGGCTGACCCCTCTATGCGAGGAGCCCAAAGATTCTTTCAGTTATCAAGTGTGCACGTGGGACTCAAGGTGAGCCACTTGAATTAAAATGTTGCTAAGGACTTTCTTATGCCATGCTTGCATTCTAAGTTTTTTCCCGGTACACCGGCTATCTGGGGTCTATGCTGGTGTAAAGTCTCAGTTTGTCATCATGTTGGACGAGAATCTCCAACATTTTCATTTACAAGTTCGATATCCGGGAACGTCCAAGGGATCCGTGCAGAAACAGGTACGGGTGGACCGGGTGGTCATGTTGACTTTGCAGGTGCCACCTGGACTGGAAGTGTTTGTGAAGATTGCGCAGGCTGGCGCCAAGCCCTTTGGGAAGCTTGGAATTGTTTCAGTAGTTCGTTCAAGACCGGAATCCCAAATCAAGCCGGCCGTTCGACTTTTTGGGGTTCGAATGGTACAAACTTCCGGAAAACACAAAAACACAGACAGACGGTCTTGCAGACAAAGGGACAGAAACGGAAGAATCTCTATTCTGAGCGTCCGAAAAGTATGTGGTGAACCCTAGTCAGCGACAGGAACGCATCAATGAAAATCATCCCCTCAGTGGTTTCCCTCGCTGAAACCGTTCGTATGTGACAGCCTACATGGGACCAAGGGCCTGGCAGTGTGCGGCGTTTTCGCATTCTTGACCTTGGCCTACTACCTGACCTCATCCAAGGCTCCCTCACGGTGCTGCTGTGAAATTTGCCAGTCTTCTATTGCTGGTGTGAGCTGTGCCAATCAAGCTTTCACTGGGGGCATGTGTGATTTTCAGGTTGCGATGCCATGATATGTCGACGTTTAACAACTCATAGACATGTGAAGAGTAATGTATGATAATGTTTGCATGGTTCAAACGCAGCATGCAGGTCACGGCAAAAGCTACTGTGCTTTTTGCAACAACGGCTTCCTTCGGCATGTTGGTTATGTCGATGCAGAATTTGGGGCTGGTTGGTACTATGACTGTTGAGTGGCCAGAAGGACTCCAGGCGCTGTTCAGCTTTTGCCAGCTCTTTTTGCTGGACATCGATTCTTATGGCTTCAGCTGCCTCGCGGGCTTCTTGGCCCCAGAGTTCTCAGAATACCTTGAACGATTTTACGAATTCCAGCATGGAGCATGTTCCCAAATTGAATAAGCCGACGTAGATCCCCAACAGCAGTTGGTGTCAAAAGAAAATGTGCTGTTTTTCAATTTTCTGTTTCGGAAGACGACCGAAGTTGTGCGGCTGGAATGAAAATTGACCGGAACAACATCGCGCGAGAAAGGCAATCATTTCATTTATTTTCAATGCGAAGAACGCTACTTCGGTTCTATGCCGGTGAACTTCTTTAGAGTCAAAACCCTGTGCCCCGTGTGGACAGCCCAAGAATGAACAAGATGCCGATCATTAGGAGGATGTTCACCTATTCAATTTCAATGCGCCTTGGTTTCGACCTCGGAAGCATCCGCTTTTGCTCCTGGAGCTACGATTCTTGGAACCTTCGTTGACACACCCGCTTTGGTTTTGGGCACCTCCGCTGTGATTCCTGGCACCATGAGTGGCGGAACCACGTACACGGAAATTTCCTTGGCGCAAAGCTGCCAGAGCATCCGCCTCGGTTCCAAGCACGGTT